AGGTGTAAATTTAAAAATAGCAGCGAGATCCACAATTTACAAGGGTGGGTCACAGAAGTACCAGCAAGCAGGAGGTCTTGTCCAAAGGCTGCTTCAGGGGTTGGCCTTTATTGGGAAGCCATGCAAATAAAATTTATTATCATGGTCTCTTTTTTAGAAGCTCAGGAAGTTAGACAAGGTGTTGAGAGCATCACAGCCCTGGTGGTGCAGTGGTTAGAATGCAGTCCTGCAGGCTACTTCTGCTGACTGCCAGCTGCCAGCAGTTCAGCAGTTCAAGTCTCACCAGCTCAAGGTTGACTCAGCCTTCCATCCTTCTGAGGTCGGTAAAGTGAGGAGCCAGTTGGGGGCAATATGCTGACTCTGTAAACCACTTAGAGAGGGCTGTAAAGCACTGTGAAGTGCTTTAGAAGTAAGTGCTATTGCTATTAGCAACAGGCTATGAAGCTGAGCACCACCAAATACCTTCTTATCTCCCACCTTCTGCAGAAAACAGCAGTTTTTTCCCTTCAGTTATGCGGAAGTCAAAAATTATCTTCCACCTAAACTACTCTATCTACAGAGAAGATATGAACTCAGAGAGTGGTTGTGATCCGTCCTCCTGCTCATAATTAAGAAGTGAAATCTTCCTTAGATCAAGCTTGACTCTTGCTGATTTTAGGACATGCCATGTTGTTTCCTTGGCAACAATACCGAAGTTGTTTCCATTGCTTTCTTCCCATAAGATAAATAAATCTAAATATGCTTCCTTGGTTTCTGGCTCAAACTTTTCCTAGCAGCCTCCCATCCAAATAGTTATCTGATCTGACCATAGTTTGGGGTTTTTTTTCCCCCAGATCAGAAAAAGTCAGTTAAGTTCTGCTATCTGGATATCTCTATTTCACAAGTCTTGAGCATTTCCCAAGTCTGATTCTACTACTGCAACATTCACCTTGGCTCTTGAAGAGGAAGGACAGAAAGGGGAGAGAACAGCTTTGCTTCTCCATTATAGGAAACCTCTTAAGTCAACCCACTTCTACAAAACGGGCACAGAGACAATTAGGAATACTGGGCAGGTCTCCTGTTTTCTTAAGCCACCCTTCCCAACCCATTCTCTCAAAGGATCACCACCTGCAGCCAACCTGATCAGAGGCCATGTTGGTTGGAAAAGTGGAAGTCATAAGGTTGGGGAAGGCTGCTTTAAGAGGTCAATCAAGGCTAACATGTGGTTAAGAAAGGCTTCACTGCCCTACAGCAAGCCAGAGACAACACTTTTGTTTATATCTGGGCCAATTCCAATCATATACAAAGCACTCTGTGTTGACACAGAGAGAGGGCAGACCAGTGGAAAGAGTGAAGCTTTCCTGTACCTGCCGTTTATCCTCAGAGGAGCTGATCTCTTGAGCTAGTTCATGGGAAGCAAACACTGAGGGGACAGGTGTTTTTCCAAGAGACAAATTGGCATGGGGGGGGGGGCTTTCCACTTGCCAATCTGGGGCCTCTCCTCCTGTTAAAGGGATCGAGCATTAGGGGATGGGAACAACCTTGAAGAAGTATTGTCAATCAACAGGCATTTGTGGGCTAAATGTGGCAAAGGGATAAGCCAGCCCAACAGTTCTTCCTATGTACAGTATATGATTGAAGCAAACCCAGTTTAGAGAAAGCACAACCAGTTTTGCTGTTCCCACTTTAAGGGCAGCCTTGCAAGAGAAGAATTCCTGTTCCCATTGCCCTCTTTTTTCCAAAATAGATGGTAGTCACAGCTGCTCCAGTGCTAGTTTTACCTAGTCCATGTTCAGGAACACTGCCTTCCAAGTAGCATACAAGCTGCTTCTAGAGCAAACAAGCCAGGCTGAGTTCAGCCTGGCATCATCCTTATTTTTGCATTACGTACCCTTTGGTCAACCGAATAATATCACCTGGCTGGATGAGGCTGCCAAGCTCATCCCACACAGAGATGGTGATGCTTCCTGTCTTGTCAGCTACTTTGCACGCCCTGACCTCATGTCCATCTTTGGTTTTGGTAACACGCCCTACCAGGAAACAGCAAAAAAAAAAAAAAGAGAGAAAGAGACAGAGAGAGAATAAGAATGCAAATAAGATAGACATTGAAAGAATGACCCAATAAAGTAAATACAAGCTGTCACCATACTTTATTCTCCTGTAAATATGATTAGGAAGCTAACTATGGAGTTAAAAGCTTTGGAATTGATTGCAGACAAATACTAAAATAAAAATAGAAACAAGATCCCTAAAAATGTGGAAGGGGTCTATTTAAAAATAGGGTTTTTTTTAAAAAAAAAGGGTGGAGCACACCACCAGTGGGACTTCCAACCCTTTCCCTGAAAAGTGACCACGTGTCCCAAACTCAAACACACACACGTAGCTTCTTAGTTGGAAGAGGGAGAAGGAAAGATAGGAACGGGGGGGGGGCGGGGAGGAGAGAATCGAGGGAGGAAAACAATGAATGCGATGGTTCCAAGGGACCCCACTTACCTATCTCCAGTACAATAAAGACGACATTTAAATTTTTCAGTCCGGGCTTTATGTCTTTTATGAAGAGGTATGTTTCGTTTGCCATGCTCATGCTACTTGCTCAGGAAGAAGACACGGGCGTTTCGGGGACAGAATGAGCAAGACAAACCATCCCTTCCCAGCGGGGCACTGGGTACAAGACGGCAGCCGGGGACCGGGATGTGAGTTTGACCAGCTTTTCAAAAATAAATAAAAAAAATTATATGTACAGCTGGGGGGTGGAAGGGGCAGAAGGCGTTTTTTTTTTTTTTAAGAGACAAGGCAGGCGCAGCAACCGTCCCTTTCCTGTAGCTCAAACTGGTTGAACTCTCCAATCGGGGAGAAACCCCTGATCGCAGATCAATCTAAAGCCGGGTTGGGGTTAGAAGCCTGAGCCCTGTGATTTATACAGGCAGAGTTTGGCCGGCTTCAGCTGCGACTTCCGCCCCTGCCGGTGGAAGGGAAAAACCAGTCCAGCATTCTCCTCCTCTCTGCTTCTTACAGCGCTTAGCTCCACCGAAAAACGAGGGAGAAAAGAAAGCGGAGCGCTTTCTCTTGTTCCTTGTTATTTTACAACCACTAAGGTGCTTTTCTGCTCCTTGTTCACCCCCCCTAGTGAGCACCCCAACCCTAGAAAAGTAAGGGCAGTAATTTCATTCCCCCCACACACACGCCAGCTCCTTTCGCAAACGCTCCCCTCTATGGAAGGCAAGCATGTGCCGCATCGCGCTTTTATAGCCAAGCGGACTGGTCCATTTGCGCCTCACGAGGGGAAGGGAGAAAAGAGTGTTAAGGATGGCCCAAGGAAAGCAGAGGACGGAGACGCTGATTGTCGGTTCAGTGGGCAGCTGCTGAGTCTCATCCACCTCGCACCGTATGTTATCCGCGTTGTAACCAACCAGCGCTGGAGATATAAAAAATAGGACGGGGCCTACCCAAGCGAAATGGTACCGTCCGGTGGACGCGGGATGGAACTGAATGTGACAAAGTGCCTCGTGAAAGGAGCCGATTGGTTGGAGGAGATTCTTTTGTCCTCTGACCTAGAATATTTACTCCTGTTCGTCGCCGTCCACACCTTCTTTTCCTTCGGCTCCTTTCAGGGGCGAGTTGAGGCTCGCTTCGCCCGAGGACAATGCTCTGTTCTCATCGGCAGCTTCCCGGAATGGCGGTCTCTGGCTTTTTCACATGCCGCTGAGTCCTTCACGGACTTAACCCTTTTCAAAAGAAGGGTGCCGTCCAACCTGCGCGCGCTAGGATTAACCCCCTTATTTGTCGCGTATAGTAAAACATGTTTTTTCCCCCCAAACTGGATACGTTTGAAATTGAGCAGAGTAAGCAGCAAAATCCCATTTGTTCCGGATCTAGGAAAGCTGAACGCTGGAGATAACCGAGAATCTTAGAAGGGACTGTAATTGACCGTGGTGTCTTTTGCAGCCTGAAAGCTGCACTTTTTTTTTTTCCAGGCGGAAAAGAATATTTGAAAAGCCAACCCACGCGTTACTTTCAAAGATCAGTGGTCCCCGACGTGGTTGATGGGCTTATTTCTCGGTAGCTGTGGGTAAATAGTGTAATTTAGATCAGCGGATCTTTACTTGGGAAAAGAGGCATATGTAGTGTACAGTCGAGCGTGTAATCATTCAATTTATTAAGTGCCTCTTAAAATAACATTTCTCCAGGCTTAAAACACCTGGAAAAATTACAGTTGTGGGTATCGGAGCTTATTGAATGTGTAACTTATAAAAGACACCGATAGTTAAAGTGAAGTATATATACCCTGTAATTTCACAGAATTTATCTGAAACCAAACAATGTTGTATTCTTGTGCTTCCTGTGGTTTTTCCTCAGCACTTCTTTTTATGTGCAAGCAATATTGAACATGTATAAAATGCTTAGATACCAGCAAAAATGTCTCAACAACCTTACATCATTCACTGAGAAGGCATTGCTGTATACAGATACCACTTCCCTGATAAGCCCCATTGGATTTTGCAATTTTTTCTACAGAACTGACGTAAGAGAATTCCACAGTTAATCCTAACAGAACAAGCATTTTTGACCACCTTTCCTGCTAATCCACTCTGTAGTTCATACAATTTGGGATAAGTTTTAGATTTTAGATTTCAAAGAGGTACAACAAGCAACAGGAATGAAGCTTGAATTGGAAGAAATATGGTCACCTGTTTATTTGATATGATTTTATTTTGACTCAGGATGAATTGCATCCAAGAATACTGTAAGAATATCTCTACCTAATCTAGGATTGCCACGCCCAAAAAGGACAGCTTGGAGTGATAAAGAAGCAGATACACCCTTCAGCAGATATTTGCTTTTGGATCAAGGCCAAAAGGCAGAAAATTACTTCTTTGTTCAGTCTGAGGAAAGACTTGGTGGTCAGTTCAGAGATTGAAACTAGGCTAGATTACAGGTAGTCCTCAGTTTATGATGGCAATTGAGTCCAAAATTTCTGTTGTTAAGGAAGACAGTTAAAGGCATTTTGCCCCAATTTACGACCTTTCTTGCCACAGTTGTTAAATGAATCACTGCAGCTGTTAAGTTAGGAACAGTTGTTAGGTGAACCTGGATTGCCGTTGACTTTGTTAGAAGGTTGCATAAAATGATTGCATGACCCAGGACACTGCAACCATCATAAATAGGAGTCAGTTGCCAAGCATCTGAATTTTGATCATGATCATGGGAATGCTGCAACGGTCATAAGTGTGAAAAACAGTTATAAGTCACTTTCTTCAGTGTCGTCGTAACTTCAAACGGTGACTAAATGAACTGTTGTAAGTCGAGGATTACCCTTTTACATCCATTCAATTTATGGATGAGGATAAAAGTAACTATGCAGTCCTACCTTTTCTTAATTACATGGGTCTGATTCACTAAGTGATGGCTGAATACACACATGTTCTAATTTTTTTTAAAATCTTCATATATAATTGCAGATCATGGTTTGTTTAATCTTATTCTGATCAGTAAACCAAAGCATGTTAGTTTGCTTAACATGCTAGGCCAAAATCTTATAAATTAACAATGGGATATTGTGTATGAATCCATCCAAAATTCAACTCATAATATTTATAGGAATATTCCTAGAAAAAGCCATTGTTTAGAGGAACAGTTACTATTTTCTTCTTGGAAAAACAACATACTTCTATCCATTTTAATTATGATGCATATTCATAATTTTATGTGAATGTCAGTTGTAATGCATTTATTGCTTATTTGATTTCCAACTGATTCCTATTTTAAGGCAGGTTTATATGGCCACATCCCTGTTCCATAATAAAGAACTAATCGAAGCATTCAGTTAAACGAATCCTCCATTGAAAGGGTCAGTTTTCCATTTATATGACATTTCTAACTGTGTATCTTTAGGCATGAGTTTTGAGTATATTGCCTTGATTGAAGAGAGGAGTACGGGATCTGTGATCAGGTCCATAGGTTTTTTCCAAATAAATTCCATTTATTGAATCAAAAATAGTTGGCTCTCTTTAGCTATGTAGTTTTCTATAGGATAACATAAATTGAAATGGTTATGGATTAGGGTCAGGGTCAGACTGATTTAATGTAAGGATGATGACTTATTATGAACATGTCCCATTTTCTTTGTATCCATTTGTATTAGTTTTATATTCTGATATGGTCAAATAACTAAATAAAGTTTCTATTCTATTCTACCTGAATGAGCTGAAGACTTTACTTTTATCTAACTAGTTTGACCTTGAAACTCCTTGAAGAGCTATTCTAAGCTTTCTTAATCAAGGCTATTATTTTAAGTGACATTTTTAATTGTCCTATTTTTTATCGTATACATTGGAATATTGGTACTAATATATATTAGCATGAAGGATTTCAGGTCATTTTTCTTTCTTTCAAGTTGATCCATTTATATAACCAAGACATTTAAAACTCTTTAGGTCGAGTTTTTCAAACTGTATTCTACAGTGATCTGCAAGGATTTGATGGGATTCCATAATAAAGGATTTTTTTCCCCACCCAGACATCACCAGTCGTCTGTCTCTAAAGCTTTGCCTCTAGGAGTTCTGGAATATTATTTATTTATTTATTTACAGAACTATTGGGTTCCACATCATCATCAAGTTTGAAAATTCTGATCTTGATTCCTTGGCACAATTTGATCTTTTAAATCATTGGGGAATTTAAAAAAAAAAATTACTGTAGAATTAATTTCTAAAAGAAGTACTAAATTCCTGAGAGATGAGGAGTGACAAAACTTCGAAGATTACAAAAATCCAGCAAAGGATAATCAAACGGTGTCTGGGGCTGTAACATTTTAATAGAGAAAGTGTTATTCTTAAAAACATAGACATGATTTCTCCACATAGAAAATAAATAGATTACAGAAAAGAACTAGAGTGGTAATAAGAACCAAACCCTCTTCTGGGATTTCCTGAGTGTATCTGAAATTAACTTCTCTGGACCTAAAGGGACCAGCTGACACTTCTGATTGTGCTTTGCAAACATAACCCATGACACCCCTTGCACTTCACAATACATGTTTGGAGTAGTGATGACTTCGAAGCCCAAAGCCTCAGAGGGCATATGGGGAGTAAAAGCCTTGAGATACCAATCACAATGGGTTAAAGCACTGAGTCCCAGAAAGAAAACTAAAGACTTTCAGCCTTGCCAGGTCATCATGTCAAGGGCTTCCAAAGGAGACAAACTTTTGAATGACCTGGGTTACAAGCTAGGCCAAACCTTAGGAGAAGGAAGCTATTCCAAGGTAAGAGTGGCCACCTCAGCCAAATACAAGGGACCACTAGCAATCAAAATGGTGGACCGACGTCGAGCACCCCGGGATTTTGTGGAAAAGTTTCTACCGCGGGAACTCTCCATTTTGCGCGGGATTCGGCACCCACACATTGTAAGAGTGTATGAATTCATTGAAGTTTGCAATGGGACTCTCTACATTGTGATGGAAGCGGCATCCACAGACTTGCTACAAATGGTACAACAAGCAGGGAAGTTACCTTGTGCTCCTGAAGCACGAGACATCTTTGCCCAAGTTGTGGGTGCTGTGCGTTATCTTCATGACAGGCATTTGGTGCACCGGGACCTGAAGTGTGAGAATGTGTTACTTACTTCAGACGGCCATCGAGCAAAATTGACTGACTTTGGTTTTGGCAAGGAATCGCGTGGATACCCTGAACTGAGTACTAC